CCTGTATCCCAGAATAAAAGGTAAAGGTTTTCCCCTGACATTAAGTCCAGTCGTGTCTGACTCTGGGGGTTAATGCGGAGCCGGCGTTGTCCGTAGATGCCTCCAAGGTCATGTGGCCAGCATGACTACATGGAGTGCCATATATCAAGACAGAAAACCCCTCATTATCTGAGTGTGGATTGAGATAATGCAGTTCAAAGCAGATATTGTGGGATTTTCCACCTTGATATTCTGGGATATAGGGCTGTGTGGAAGGGCCCTAGGGAGAGCTCTTCTGCACAGCCATATAATCCCGATTCTCAAGGCAGAAAATCCTACAATATCTGCTTTGAACTGGGTTATCTGAGTTCACACTGCCTATATTGTAGTTCAAGGCAGAAAATGGGGAATTGTATTCAGCTGTGTGGAAGGGGCCTAAGAGACCTTGGGCCCTTCCATTCAGCCCTATATCTCAGAATATCAAGACAGAAAATCCCATATTATCTGTGTGTGGAATGAGATGGCCCAGGGCCACACAGTCCTAAATACCAGAATATCAAGGCAGAAAATCCCAAAATATCTGCTTTGAATAGGGTTATTATTATTATAAACATAAGAAGATGAGTCCACAGCAGACACTCTGTTGGCTGTTGTATTGGATCATGCAGCAGACACATCCCAAGTGTCTAGGACTGTGTGGTGTATTGGCAAATAATGCGTGCAGATCCCAGTAGGGTGGCCTTCTGCAGCTGGCAGATGGTAATCTTCTCAGCGCCGATTGTGTTTAAGTGCAGGCCAAGGTCTTTAGGCACTGCACCCAGTGTGCGCTGATCATCATAATCATTAGTATTAGTATTATTAGTATTATTAATACTCTGCTTTATCTTGCTAAAGGGGAGTAAAAAATATTCTATTTTATTTAATTTTATTTGAAACATGTATGTTTCACCCTTCTCACCCCACAGGGGACTCAGCATATATAAGGCCAGAACATAAAAACATAAATATATACAGACATTAAAATCACTTATATCCACATTAAAAGTTGCTTAAAAGTTGCTTCTGCTAATTTCTATAGCTTTAATGGGAGAGAGCCAAAACCCTACAAATTTCAATAAGGGTCTTAGGGCCCTTCCACACAGCCTTATAACCAAGAATATCAAAGCAGATAATCCACAATATCCAGTTCAAATAATGTGGGATTTTCTGCCATGATATTCTGAGATATAGGACTGTGTGGAAGGGGCCACAGAATACCAAGGCAGAAAATCTCACATTATCTGCTTTGAACTGGAATATGTGGCAGTGTGGACTCAGGTAACCCGGTTCAAAGCAGATATTGTGGGATTTTCTGCCTTCATATTCTGAGTTATATGGCTGTGTGGAAAAGCCCATTGGCCCTTTCCACACAGCTCTATAAAATCCCACATTATCTACTTTGAACTGGGTTATATGGCAGTGTGGATTCAGACAGCCCGGTTCAAAGCAGATATTGTGGATGTTGGAAATGTTATCTGCCTTGATATTCTGGGTTATATGGCTGTGTGGAAGGGCCCTTAATCAGTGCAACTGTTCCTGGAGTATTTCTCATATTTTGGCACATTACAGGCAATCACGGTATGCTTTTAAGTACACATTGAAGTTATTTCGGCGTTTTAATGGGTCGCTTCTGCTCGATTATATGTCAGTGTAGAGTCATAATCCTAGGCCCTTCCAGACAGGCACTATACTCCAGGATCTGATCTCAAGTTTTCTGTTTATCTCAGATTATCAGGCAGTGCGGAGTCATATAATCCAGTCTAAAGCAGAAAACGTGGGATCAGATCCTGGGATATAGGACCTGTCTGAAAGGGCCCCTAGTTCAAA